CACCGTTAAGAGAGCTGTCACTATTTTTCTCTTCCTGGGCTAAATATATCTTGTTTCCCTTTCCCTTTGATACTGCAAAATGGCTCTATGACACTTCCAAACAAAAACACATTGGCATGACTTTAGTGTTGAAAAGGAGCTCTGGTGACATAGTGGGTAAGGTATTTGGCTGGTAACCAGAAGGTCAGAGTTCAAACCTATCTGCTGCTCTGCAGGAGAAAGAGGGGGCAATCTACTTCCATAAAGATTTACAGCCTTGAAAACCCAATGTGGGGACTTCTGGTAAGATGGAGGAATAGGCAGACAAGCCACACAGACCCTCCTCAACAAAGAAAAGAGAAACCAATTGACAGAGATACAGGAGATAATCCTGGAGCCCTGAGCTTTGAAAGAAAGTACACAGAAGTGGATAAAGCACCAAATGTTGGAAAAACCTGAATGAAAACAGTAAGTACAGAGACAGTCGGAGCAGTGGACTATCAGCTACTCTGATGGGACCAATAGCCTGAATATTTTCAAGTGGTGTTGGGACCTGAGAATTGACATAAGATTGGCCCTGGTCACCAAGGGCTGCAGAGATGACTGTGCTGGTGGCCTGTGACTAGGAAGGGAAACAGCAAGGAGGGAGACAACCTAAGTTCTGGACTTTCCTCTGTCTGGAGGGCACAGCCATTTTGATTGTTTACATGTGGCAGCCATTTTGGATTTAAAGTGACCAAGGGTGCAGCCATTTTGAATGTTTACAAGTGGTGGCCATCTTGGATATTTAAATTGACCGAGGGTGCAGCCATTTTGAATGTTTATATTTAAAGTGACCGAGGATACAGTCATTTTGAATCTTTGCAAGTGGCATCCATTTTGGATTTTAAAGTGACAGCATTCTCATTTAGCTTCCAGGGACTTAAGAATAGGCTGTTTGCCAAGGATGGCAGGGACATATGAGAGACTGACAACAGGAAAGGAGACAGGTGGTGGGTGTATAAGTGCTGTCAGCTAGCTAATAGGGGAGCACAGCACAGTACCCTGTTTATGTAGATAACATACAAAGAAAACCAAAATCGTGGACAAGTGACTCCTGTGTACAATCACCAATTAAATATAAACACAAAAACGTCACAATGCCTCGGGGACAACAGAGCATCACAGTCCACACAAAGAAGCAAGATAAAGCAAGAGAAACAAGGGACCAGGATACAGAACCAAAAGACATCCCTGAGGAAGACGCAGCATTGGAACTCTCTGATAAGGATTTCAAAAGAATTATGTTTAGGTATCTTCAACAAATTGAGAGGCAGATCAAGGCAAACCTGACAAAATTGAGCAAAACTCAGAGAAAACTCTGGAACAATTTTGAAAGACAATATAAGAACAAAATGATAAATGAAAAATTAGAAATGATACAAAATCTACAGACAGAAATCCAGAAGGTTAATACTAAATTTTCAGAAATAGATAAGACACTGAACAGGCAAAGGAGTAGAATGGAATCAATGGAAGACAGCATTAGTGAGATTGAAGGCAAATACCTGAATATTTCTTTGGAAAAGGATCAATCAGAAAAAAGATCAAAACAAAATGAAGAAAGCCTAAGGTTCATGTGGGATACCACCAAAAGGAATAACCTATGTGTAATCAGAATTCCAGAAGAGGAAGAGACAAATAAAACCACAGAGAAAACTGTCAAAGATTTGTTGAAAGAGAATTTTCCTGGTATGATGAAAGATGAGAATATATCTATTCAAGATGTCCAGTGAACCCCAAATAGGATAGACCCCAAAAGAAAATCACCAAGACATATCATCATCAAACTGAAACCAAAGACAAAGAATTCTAAAAGCAGCATGGGAAAAACAAAAAGTTACCTACAAGGGGCGTAACCAATAAGACTAAGCACTGATTTCTCAGCAGAAACCATGCAGGCGAGTAGACAATAGGATGGTATATATAAAACCGTGAAAGAGAAAAATTTCCAACCAAGAATTATGTACCCAGGAAAATTGTCCCTCAAATATGTTGACATTAGGACATTTCCAGATAAGCAGAAATTAAGGGAATTTGTTAAAACCAGACTAACCTTACAAGAGATGCTAAAAGGTCCTTTGGATAGAGAAGCACCAATAGCCAACAACAACTGATCATTAACATACATGATGACATAACCCAGAAACCAACCCAGTTATAGAAATATCCAAAGTAAATAAGCCTTCAAGATTGTAAACAGGGAACCAGAGACATCATTTGACAAATGAGGACAACTACAAACCAAAAAAGGGGAACAAACTGTGTAATGACAGAACTTCTAGCTGGTAGGGAAGTCAAGACAACTACCAGATAGAATGGACTGTTCTAAACTTGGGAAGAAAACTATAAATCATAGGGTAACCTCAATGAAAAATGATAAACCTTCACATCAAATTAAAAAAGAAGACCAGCACAAATATTTAGCAAATACTAAAACAATAGCAATGAAGGAAGTGATAATATGATTCATAAACAAAATGAGCTCAGCATAGAAAATTATATGGAACAAAGAAATCGACATCATGAAAAAGCACATGACAAAAATGACAGCAACAGATTCATATTTGCTGATAATTAATACTATGCAGCAGTAAAGAATAATGTAGAATCTGCAAAACACCACGTAACATGGATGAACTTGGAAGAAATTATGCTGAGTGAAATAAGTCAATCACAGAAGGACAAATATAGTATTAGTTTGTTGCTGTGGAGGGTCAAGGAAAGGTTTATATATGAAGGGAAACTTTCTTTGTTGGTTGCCAGGGGTAGGAGGGGAGGGGAGGGAACACTGCCAAAAAAAAAAAAAGTAAAAAATTCATTGACCTATGTCACTTTAGTTTTGTGTATTTCACTATGCATAAATTATATTTCAGTAAAATGCATTTATAAAAAGATTTTGTTTGTACAGAGCAGCCATCTAAGATACAACTCTTGGTTTCTTCCCATCTGGAGCAGAAGAGAGTGAAGAAAATCAAAGACTCAAGGAAACAACTAGTCCAAGGATTAATGGACCACATGAACCTCAGCCTCACTACCCTAAGATCAGAAGAACTAGATGGTGTCCAGTTACTACTACCAGCTGCTCTGACTGGGATCACAATAAAAGGTCCTAGACAGACTGTGAGAAAAATGTAGAACAAAATTCAAAATCATGAAAAAGACCAGACCTACTGATCTGATACAGACTAGTGGAACTCTTGAGACATGACCCTTAGATATCCTTCAGACTTGGAACTGAACCCACTTGCAAAGATCATCTTTCAGCCAAACAACAGACAAACCTATTAAGTGAGCAATAACACCTATGAGGAATTTGCTCTTCCTAACGATCAACCTTATGAGATGAAAAGGCCAGCATTTGCCCAAAAACAAAGTGCAGAATGCAAGAAGGTGCAGGAAAGATGGATGAATGGAAATGGAGAATCCAGGGAGGAAGTGGGAAGAGTACTGTTATATCGTGGGGATTGCATCTAATGTCACAAAGTAAAATGTGTATAAATTATTGAATAGGAAACAAATTTGCTCTGTAAATTTTCACCCAAACCACACTTAAAAGTAATAATAATGTTCTACATCCGAGTTTGGTAAATGGCATCTGGGGTATTAAAGTTTACGAGAGGCCATCTGAGATACAACTGTTAGTCTACTCGTATGGAATAAATGAGAATGAAGGAAATCAGAAGCTCAAAGAAACTAGTTCATGGGACTAGCCTATATAAACCACAGCCTCTTCTAATTTGAGAACAGAACTAGATGGTGCCTGGCTACCACTACTGACTATTTTGATCAGAGACACAATAGAAGATCCTAGATAGAATGGGAGAAAAATGTAGACCAAAACTCCAATTCCTAAAAAAGTCCAGACTGTGCCTTTTTACTTGTCGAAAAGTGAACTGGACTGGTAGAGACTAGAGCAACCCCTGAGACTATTGCCCTAAGGTACCTTTTGAACTTGAAATTGAAACTATTTCTGCAGGTCACATTTCAGCCAAATAATATATTGCTTATTTAAAGCCATTGATTACATTAGAAGTATAAATAGATTAATTTTCCTAATCCCAGACATTAGGTCAGTTTCTCTCAAAGCATCAAGAAGCCTTTGGATTCAGAACTGGGCCTGACTAGTTGGCCAAACCAAAAACCCCAGGCTCACTGCCGTCGAGTCGAACCCGACTCATAGTGACCCCTCCTTGGGCTTGCGAGGCGGTGTCACTATGGAAGTAGATTGCCCAACCTTCCTTCCAAGGAGTGGCTGATGTGTTTGAACCACCAGCCTTCTGGTTAGCAGTCAAATGCCTTAGGCACTATGCTACCAGAGCTCCTGACTAGTTGGCCAGTTATTATAAAATACACAATAACATTCATGAGTAATGTGCTCCCTTAAACAATTAACTATATGATACCAAACGGTCAATATTTTCCCAAAAGCAAAGAGGAGATGGCAAGGAGGGGAAGGGAAGCCTAATCAATGGAAACGGAACAAACAGAATAATGAAAATGATGACAAATTATGAAAGGTATAATCAATGGCATGGAACAATGTATATAAAAATTGTTAAATGGGAACTTAATTTGCTGTGCAAACTTTCACCTAATAAAATATTATTTTTAAAAAAGAAAAAAAAAAAACCATACACCAAACAAAAAAGAAGAAAAGAAAACCCAATGTGGGTTACAGTGAGTCAGAATTGACTCTATGGCAGTGGGTTTGGTTAGGTTTTGGTTCAGTGTTGAAGGTACTGCCTTTGTCCTTCCTTCTGCCTTATCTTCTGTCTCAGAAAATGTTAGCAGCTGAGGGCAATTGCTTTGTTCCACTTTGTGGTTAGTCTCCTGACTTTATCTTCTAAATCTTTCTTTGAATTTTTAATTTCTATTACTGTATATTTAGTTTTTAAGAGGTCAATCTTATTCTCTGAATAATCTGTTCTTTTCTTGCCAGTACAAATGCTTGGCACTTCTTAGCTGAAATTAAAATGCAGATTTGAAGCTCTGTTTGAATGGGGCTGCTGGCAATGCGCACAGAGCCTTTAGTTGGGAGATTCTAAATGTCAAGATCTTACCTAGACCCCAGGGCTATATATGTTGGTTGTCTGGGGGGTGCTGGGGAAAAGGGCTGTGGTGTTTCTCACCCTTAGTGTATAGACCTGTTTTCAGAACAGCACCACACTCCCTGAGCTGAATCTGAAGGACCCATGCCCAACCCAGCTTCCTCTGATTCAGGTTTCTGGGAGAGTCTTGCACTTGTCTCCCCTGTTATGTGGCCTGGGGCTCCAGGGGTTTGTTTTTGTGTAGCCTTTCAACTGACCCTATTTTCAGCCTTGCCCCTGCTCTCCTATTCTCTGGTAGTCTGTGGCTGCAATCATCTTGCTTTCCATTGCCTTTTCCTGCTGCAGGCACTGAGATTTCAGCTTTTTTTCTCTCTCTCACCACTTGTCCAACTGCTTTTCATCCCACGGATTTGTTGATATTGCTTCTCTGGTGGTGTCTCTTCGATTTCCTTGACTTTGTGAAGTTGTGTCTTTATTCCTTAAGCAATATTACAAGGATATTGGAAAGAGGTGGATGTAAATATATATATATATACAATTTCCAATATATTTCTGGACCTCTAATCAGCTGTAAAGAGTTTATTCAGAGAGAAAGATCTAAGATGAGACCTTTACATAATTAAGCAAAATTGGAGGTTTTTATGCAGCCATCGGATTCTAAAGAGAAAATGTTAGAAATGTAGAAATTAGAATTCATCTTATAGGGTGATAATTAGAGAAAAAGTTATGAATTATTTGAGTGTTAAAGTTTTGAGCAAAATAAATTCTATCGAAACAATGTGGTGTGATACTATACTTCTTCTCTCATAAAAAACAAACACATGAAAAAAAAAACAACCAAACTCATTGCCATTGAGTTGCTTCTGGCTCATAACAACCTCCATTGGGTTTCCAAGGCTGTAAATCTTTACAGAAGCAGACTGCTTCATCTTTCTTCCATGGAAGAGCTGGTGGGTTCAAACTAATGACCTTTTCGTTAGCAGCCAAATGCCTTAACCACTATACCACAAGAGCGTCTACTTTTCTCTAGACCCTTTAAAAAGTCTCCAAATTTAGGAAATACGTTCATTGTGAGCATGCTAATTATTCTAGGTTAATTACTATATATATATATATATATATATATATATGTAGGACATGTTTCTAAAACTTATTTTAGTCTTTTCTTTCTATGAAAGCAATATAATTTTATTACACTATAATTCTGGTAAGAAACAAGTGACAATACCCTTTCTTTTCCCATGAATCCATCAAGCAGAAAACCCCTCTCATCCTGTTATGTGTTTACATTGGGGTCAGGATTTAGCCTTCTTGATCCTCATGTTTGTGTCCTCATTCCCTTCCAGGACACTGGAGTTGGGAAATCAAGCATTGTGTGCCGGTTTGTCCGGGATCACTTTGACCACAACATCAGCCCGACTATTGGGTAAGTTTTTCCTTTCATAGAACTCGGCAAGTTTTGTCTATGTCTGAGTCTTTAGGCAGGGCACAGTTTTCATTCCAGCCAATGAAAATCAGTCCCAACTGTTAGACTTCAAAAGAGATTCAGGGATTTCCAACCAAAGTGCCTGGCTTATCATCCTTCTCAATTCTTGTTTCCCTTGGCCAGCCTTCCTTATACTGCAACTGAAGGCCATTTCCTTTATCTGCAAGAACAGCATTTTGTAAGTTAAGCCCACTGTATTTCCAGGTGGAATATGATCCACAGGACAAGTCCCCAAAGGTTCTGCTTTAACTTGCCTGCTGAGTGTACCCAGGAGATACTGTCCACTTACACATCACAGCTGTCTGTACAGTCTGTCGGGCAGATTCATTTTCTTTTCTGGATTGATATAAAGTCAACATTTTCACTCTTGGGATGCCTGGGGAGAGGTAGTGGTGGGTTGTTCATTTCTCAGACCTGGATCTTGGAATGCCAGAGGGTTTTCCTAGTCCATCTTCTCCTTTCTCATGGACTCTGGCGGCATGTGTTTTTGTGGTGCTGTTTTGCAGGTACTGGCTTTTTGTGCTTTTAGACATTGTTTTCAGTTGTTGTAATGTACTTTTTTCCTTTTTAATTTTTCACTTTTTATGTTTTGGTAATAAAAGTAAAACCTCTAAGAGTGATTAACTCTGAATAATGGTTTTAGAAGATGGAGGAAAGACTTTCACCTACTTTTTAAACTTCTGTTAAAAATTTTACAACCAATCTGTATCCTTTTTGTAATAATTAAAAAACCAACAAGCTATAAACTATGGTAAATTGTTAAGTGTTCAGTATTATAGAAAATTATTTTTTCTGATAGGCATATTACTTTGGCCACAGTCTCTTGGTCAAAGCAAGTTCTAAGCAAGTTTTCAGATTCAAGGGAAGGAAATGAACCTCATTCTTGGTGGGGGGAGCAGCATGCATACACAAGAAGGGCTGGGTTGTTGGCAGCCATTTTCAGAGAGAACCAGTTAAGTACTGTTGACAGTACTTGGTCTACTAAATGCATCTTGATATTTCAATGATTTTTAAAAATATATATATAGTATATATATATATTTTAAATTGTAGTGCTCTTGAAAAAATTCAGAGTAATACAAAAAGATATAAAGTAAAAAATGAAGGCAGAGAATTTTACTGGTGTTCTGGTTACCTAGTGCCACTCTGACAAGAATATACCACAAATGGGATGGCCTTAATAAACAGGAGTTTATTCTTTCACAGTTCAGGAGGTTAGATGTCCATGTTCAAAGTGCCAGGCTCTATGGGCTGGTTGAAAGCCCCTCGACCTTGAGCTTTAGCTCTGCCTCTTTCTCCCGGCCCACTGAAGCCAGAGGCATCTCTTTACTCGTACAGCTGCTGGCTGCTAAGGCAGACAAATCCAAGGTTGACAAGTATACAGGGACAGTCCCAATGTTACCAAACCACACTGTAGGCCATTAATTCAAGTCCATTGTAAGTCCCAAGGTCGGGAGAGCATGACAGGCTGCTGAACAATGACACGGCTACATACAGGGTCCAAGCGTGCCATATGCACGAGACCATTCCCCAAGGTTTCTGCTTATATACAGGAAGCAGACCACATTCCCTAAGGCAGCTACTTAGCTGCTTGTGGTACTTCCCAACATGGAGTTGATTACCAGTCTCATCATGGGGAAATACTACATCCAGCTGCCCAGCCACTCAACCAGGCCTAGCCAAATTGACACACAAACTAAACTACCACAACTGCCTCTCCAATTCCATGTTATTCAATTTGTGCAGCCAATACTTGGAGTCCAAAGAGCATATTTAACATATTTGTCGAGCCAACATCTGAGGCCACCAAGAAAGACACAACTTACATAAAGCATTGGTTGGAACAATACTTACTCACATAGAGAAGAGATAGCACAAGGTCAGCTTCAGTAGGAGATGCTGGTTTGCTGTGGCCAGCAAGTCTCACGCTACAGCCAACATAGGGCTGGTGGTCTGTACACACCTTTCTTTGTGCAATAGTTGAGTACACTCTTCCCTCCCTGCTGGGAACAGATACAGAAATGGGGTTGCTTAGGTAGCATGCAATGTGCACACACACGCACACACACACACACAGGAAGATGGGGCAATCTACTTCCGTAGTGATACTGCCTTGGAAACCCAAGGTCACTATGAGTCTGGTCTGACTCAACATCACATAACAATGTGCATGCATAAGCAGAGCAGAGAGAGAGTGTATTGTACCCAAAATAGGGAGGGAGTTCTCCGATAAGAGAAGAAACTGGGAGAGAAACAGAAACTCAGTACGCAGCCTTAATATCAGGGAATGCTCTGGGTTCAAGGCTTCTGATTAAGCGATCCAGGTGAGAGTCACAGGAGCCTTGTAGACTACCCTTCCAACAATATTTCTTACAAGTATTTTCTTTATATATATGCAGATATATTAATAATTTCTATACTATATATAAGGGGCTCTGGTAGCATAGTGCCTAAGGCATATGACTGCTAACCAGGAGGCTGGCGGTTCACCCCCAGCAGACACTCTGTGGAAGGAAGACTGAACAATTTACTTCCATAAAGATTTATTGCCTTGGAAACCCAAAGGGGGTCGCTATGAGTTGGAATCAACTTGATGACAGTGAATTTGGTTTTGGTTTTTATATATAACATAATACAGCATACATTTTCAGAACATGTTGGTCTTCCTTATTCATTTCATGACTGTCTGTGCATTTCCTTGACAGAGTTAAGATTAAAGTCTAATTTTGCTAATTATAAAAGGTCATTCATATTCATAGAAAAATAGTTTTTCATTTTGTAAACAAAAATAGGAATCATACTATATGGACAGTTTTGCATCCTATATTTTCTCTTTAATGTATTTGAGTATTTTCTTATCATATAATCTCTAATCATGATAAAATATTTTTCCTGATTATAAAAGTATATGTACTCAAGAAAAAATTGAAAAGTGAAGAAAACTATCAAAAATAGAAAATTACAAAATATAAAAATTACCCATAATCTACCTCCCAGAGGTAACTACTGTAAACCTTTGGTGTATTTTCTTTCATACTTTTTCTTATGTATATAAAATATATAGATATTATAATTCAGACCACACAATGTATGTAATTTAGTATCTTTTTTTTTCATTCAGCATTATATTGTGAATTTCATGCCATTAAATAGTCTTTAAAACAATTATTTTTTAAAGTTATTATGTTAAAAATACACATAATAAAACTTACACCATCTCAACAGTTTCTCTATGTACAATTCAGTAACATTGATTACAGTCTTCAAGTTGTATAGCCATCATTCCTGTCCTTTTCTAAATCATTTCACCATGGTTAGCATAAACTCATTGTCCCCTGAGCAAGTATTCCCTTCTCTTCTCAACCAAATCTTTGGTTTCTGTATATGCAAATATATGGATATATTTGTAGCACATATAAATACATATGTAGAAATATCCTCTGTTAATCCTGTATGTATTTCTGGGTGTAGTCTCATTCACTATCCAATACTTGTTCAGCTTGTGTGTCTGTCTTTGTATCCACTCTTAGAATATTGTTATTTCATGATTGTGTGTGTAGTAGTGTTTACCTTTGTTGCCTTTACATTTTGTGCTCCTTCCAGTGTCTTCCTTTGCCTTGATCATTTTGTGCTGACCTCCCCCGTGGTAGTTAAGTCTGTGTGTCAACTTGGCTGGGCCTGGTTGAGTGGCTGGGCAGCTGAATGTAGTTATTCCCCATGGTGAGATTGGTAATTAACTCCATGGTGGAATCTATTGGAGTAGCTGAGTAGCTGCTTTGGGTATGTGGTCTGCTTCCTGTATATAAGAAACAGCTTTGGGAATGGTCTCTAGCTTATGGCACGCTTGGACCCTACATGTAGCCATGTCATTGTTCAGCAGCCTGTCATGCTCTGCCGATCTTGGGACTTACAATGGACTTGAGTTAATGGCCTGGCATGTGGTTTGGTAACACTGGGACTGTGCCTTTTTGTTGACCTTAGGCTTGTTAGCCTCAGCAGCCAGTAGCTGCCTGAATGAAGAGATGCCTCTAGCAGAGCTGAAACCCAAGGTCGAGGGGCTTTCACACAGCCCCTAGAGCCTGGCACTTTGAGCTCGGATTTCTAGTCTCCCGAACTGTAAGAGAATAAACTCCTGTTTGTTAAGACCATCCTATTTGTGGAATATTCTTGTCAGAGCAGCACTCGGTAACCAGAACATCCTCCTTACTGTATTTGCCTTTCCCTTCACCCAAGCTGATATGTGTCTACCCTGTAGTTAGTGATTTACCCTCTCTTCCTCCCACCTCTGGTAACCTTCAAAGGATGACTCTTTGTGTGCGTAAACCTTTTCTTGACCTTTTACAGCAGTAGTCTCATACAGTATTTGTGCAAAAGGGTGTGGGGATGTTGTCTGACTTCCTCTAACTTTATGGGGAGGTGGGAGGAGAGAATCATTATCTGATTCCCATGAGGCGAAAGTCAGCTATACTGCCACCCTCCAATGTTTTCCACCAGTTCTGACACCAGTTATCCCTCCTATAGCATTCATCACTTCTCTACTTGATTTGATTAATTTGTTGCAATGGCCACACTCACAGACAATGCGTACTATTACGGAGTTTATTAGGGAAATAACAGTAATTCAGGATCAGAAAAGAGTCAAGATAAAGTTCTTCAATCAGGGCAGCTTCTTTTCAGCTGTACCACAGAAATGCCTCTCTTTGACCCTTGGCCTCTTGGCCTGGCTTTGCTCTGCTTGGTGAAGTGTTTCAAAGCTCTTTTAGCTCTGCTGATAGGTGAACCGCACTCTGCTAGCAAGCCTCCCACCCAAAGACACTCAACCTTCTTCCTCCATGTGCCAGCAGGCCTGCAGCCTCTCTGTCTCTTGCTGGTCTCTTGATTCTGCTGCCCCTGCCATCTCTCCCTCTGCCCTCTCTCTCTGTGCTGTTTATCTGGTCTGA